TTGCTGTATGTGGGACGCGGCCTCAGCATGGCCGGAGAAGTGGTGCATCGGTGCGAGCCCGGGATCCGAACCCGGGCCGCCAGCAGCGGAGCACGCGCACTTAACCACTAAGCCACGGGGCCGGCCCATCAGTAATAATTAAAAATATGAAATAACATAAAGATGAGACCATATTTCATATACCAAACTGGCAAAGTCATTTAAAAATTATGACGCCTATTTTCATCAAAGATTCAAAAAAAAAGGAAATGAGACCTTTGTCTAATCATGAGAATAATAATAAAACTTGTGTAGAGTACAGTTTAAGAATACATATGAAAGATATGTATAATTTTCTATCCCATTACTTTTACTCTTTCCAATTTATCCAAAGGACCATTTGGATTACACTATCTGGAGTACACTAAGATATATGTACTAGGGCAATTAGCACAATACTATTTATGGTGTCAAAGCAACCTAAATAACTTGAAAAAGAGAATTAATAAAATAAATTATACTATTTTTATATGATGGAATACTCTGTAGCCATTACAAAAATTCTATTTAAAAGAATATATATTTAGGGAGCCAGCCTGGTGGCATAGCGGTTAAGTGCACACGCTCCACTGCTGGCGGCCCGGGTTTGGATCCCGGGCACGCACTGAGACACACCCTGTCAAGCCACGCTGTGGCAGCATCCCATATAAAGTGGAGGAATATGGGCACAGATGTTAGCCCAGGGCCAGTCTTCCTCAGCAAAAAGAGGAGGATTGTCATGGATGTTAGCTCAGGGCTGATCTTTCTCACACATACACACACACAATATATATATATATTTGAAGAGAATAAAATGCATACACAATATTTATAGTATTATTCCAATTTTAGAACAGTAAAATATAATGTATGCATTTATATGTAACAATGGCCAAAATGTTAAAAGTTTTAATATCTGTTTTATTCATAGCTGTGTTTTCCAGAATTTTCTAAAGAGGCTGTGTTGTTCTTGCATCAGAGAAAAGTTCTAGTTATAATTTTAATCCATATTCATTAGTTCAAGCTTTCTTTAATTCTAAAAATTAGGTTATTTTGCACATCTCGTATACATATATTTTTACATAGAATTAGTCAGCAAAGTCTGACTAATTATGTAAAATGATTAATCTTTTTACCCTACCACTTAAAAAAAATTATATAGCTTCCCTTTACTTCAAGGGAAAAATTTAACATATCAGCCCTTTCAAAAAATTTATAGCATATCATACCTTTCAAAACTTATTTTTAATATTTTTTCTCTCATTTCAAATCATTCTTTCTCAAAATCTATCAAACAGCACTTCCCTCACCCCGGTTTTCTGCCTGAAATGCTGACATGGGTAGAAGCTGCATATGAGGAATTAAAGAAAAGAATCAGGGCAGAGTGGTGAAAGCCCAAGGATATAATATCTAAGGAAATTCCAGTAAAAATATACTTTCTGAAGTGAAGGTAAGGTTCTCCAATTTGAATTTCAAAAGCTATACCTTTGATACAATCACAGGTAAAGAACAGGGGCGAGCAGGGTCATTTTCAGAATGGCTGCTGTGTTAGGTCTTATGCAGAAAAGGAGAGGAGGCATAACCATAAGAAGAATGAAGAGGAGCCCAAAGAGCTGGAAATACATAGCTCGAGAATGAGAAACCTGAAAGACTACTTTGCCTTCTCCCCTAACCTTCAGTTTAGGTCTCTCCCCTAAATTGCTGATCTAGGAAAATTCAACTCATTCAATGATAAGCAATGAAAAAGGAACTGGGTATTGCACTGCCACAAAGATTCTACATGAAAAATGTAGAAATAGCAAAATCTATCCACAAGTGAAAAACATGCACCGGAAAAAGGTTGCCAGACATCTGATGAAAATGTAAAGCAAATGAATAAAACAATAGAAACTAAATGAAATAATATTCCAAATGATGAAAAAATACCAAGTAGAAATGCAGAAATAGGACTGATACACCTTGATAATAGGAGGGATGAAAATGAGCTTGTAGATATCAAGAAAGAATTAGAAAAGAAAAATAAAACACATAAAAGAAATGAAGAATTTGAATGAATGCAAGGAAGTCAGGAAACTATGGAAAAGATAGCAAGGGGCAGAGGATAGTTGTGAGAAAAAATAAACAAAAAGAAAAAGAAAAAAGAAAGATTTAGAATAGTTTAGAGAGAAAATGATAAATATAATAAGAAGACAAAGTTCTATCATAGCCCAAGTGAATTTCCAAAGAAGAAAAGAAAAAAATGGAAGAACTTTTTAAAAAGTTATAATTCAAGACAACTTTGATTAAATAAAAAATGATTTGAATCTACATATTGAAAAAACACAACATTGTCTGAGCAAGTTGAGAGGAATTAATCCAAAGTGGTCAATTTTGTTTATAACTTATTCAAGTTATCGGATTTTAAGGATAAAGGAAAAAAATTGTGGTTTCAGGCAAAAAGGTGAAGATAGAATAAAGGAAAAAACATCAGATTGGCTTCAAATTTATCAAATGCTGGGGCTGGCCTGGTGGCGCAAGCAGTTAAGTGTGCATGCTCCGCTGCGGTGGCCCGGGGTTAACCGGTTCGGATCCCAGGGGCGCACCGACGCATTGCTTGTCAAGGCATGCTGTGGCAGTGTCCCATATAAAGTGGAGGAAGATGGGCACAGATGTTAGCCCAGGGCCAGTCTTCCTCAGCAAAAAAAGAGGAGGATTGGCAGATGTTAGCACAGGGC